TTGAAAATTTGAAAAATTGGAAAATTGGTTGAAAACTGAAATTTGAAAATTGTTTAAAAACTGAAACTTGAAAATTTGAAATATGTGAAAATTTGAAAATTTGTGGAAAATTTTGAGAAAAAAAATGAAAAACATTTGCTGTATGAAAGAGTACGACACTGTTTTGTGAAAGCATTGTCTGATTGAGGCAAAAAGGACAAATATCTTGGATTTGTAAAAATTTGACAGGTTTTTTTCCTGCAGAAATATGGTGCAGAAAATGCGGGTAAGTATTGGGAACTTCGAAAAAAGGAACAATCGAATTCACTGTCACAGCCAACGGACATTGGCCTCATCGACTACGGAAAAATGAATGAGGGAATAAGTAAGAAGTTATATGCGTGTGCTTTTTCGGTACTTGAGAATGAAAGTTTGGTACTGCCTTGCTAGTATGTGGTGGCTTTTAGCATTTGTTACCACTCGGGCTAGTCCTTCAGCTTCTCTGCTCCTTAGAGAGGATAAATGTAGAGGGGGTTTTGATTTTTGACTTTAACTTGATCAGATTTTGACCGCGCGGAACGCTCTGATTCAAAAACGGCATTTGGATTTTGAGCAGCAATAGATACTAAAATTTGTTTGAAACACCAAAAAGTCAAAATTCCCTTGTATAAACTCTCTGTGAGAGTCGAAGGCAGTAGTTGAAATGATATCACGTTCTGGCTACAACCACTCGCTGGCAAGGCTATCGATAACCCCATCCTCTTTCGAAAATTGCTTGGAAGCAAACTGATGGCTGGTTTGATTCTCTAGCATATACCATTACCAATTTACCATCGGAACTAATGAATGAATCGTGAAAGGATTGCTAGTGTTTTTATTTAAACGTCCAGGAATTTTTTGCAGTCCAGTTTTGCATTGTTTTGCAGGAGAAACTTGCCAAGAGGCTGGTGTTCTCATGTTGCAGCACCTGAAGCACTGTCCAAGTATTCTAGAAACTTCATCGGTTGTATCGGATCTCTGCTTAAAATATCTTGTACGAGCCTGCGAACGCCTTGCCGCTCCACCAAGTTTGTTTGTTTGTATTTTATTTTTTGTTGTTAAGGGCTTCCTGGAAATGGCATTTGGTGCACGAGATTATTTGTGCAGACGATTAATCGAATGGTCGAAGCAATTTTTCGGAAGACAACAGGGTGGAATATCAAGCCCAGATAGCTAATTACTTGCAGATTGGAATTAGATGGGCTAAAAAACTGGAAATTTAGGGGAGATTTCCTACCCATGTGTGATCTAGAAAATTCAAATTCAGTGTCCGTGAGCGCCTACTGCTCACGTGGGGTCACGTGAGCAGTAGGCGTCTAAATTAATAACCTGGAAGCACAAAAGACCGGAAGCTGAAATTTCCCGAGAATGCTCCTTGCCTGCACATGACTTCGCAAAGTTGAATTTAGCCTTAACGTGCGCCTGGTTTTTGCATACGAATACGTGAAAACTTTTGAGCCAAAAAAAAAGGACCAGAAAGTTAGGGAACTAAAATTTTAGGAAAATTTCCCCTGCTCGCTACAAATTTGGTACCAGCACACGCCTAGGTCTCCATGTATAAGCGTATGAAAGTCTTGGCGCCAAAAATAATAAAATCAGGAACCACAAAAATTTCTACACATATCAACAGGTGAAACAGTGAATCCTCCTTTGGAAGACTTACAGCTGGACAAAGTTTTTGCGTAAAATGCATGACCGCACCAATCGTTCTGCTATACGCCACTATTTATTGTTTCAGCATCATGCCAGGATAATGACCATAATTTTTCAGCAATGGGTACTGTATGCGATCGAGCCGATGTTGCTTG